ATAGTATATTTCACAAGGGTTTCGTACATATAAAGAACGCCGAAATCCGAATTATGACGAAGAAGTAATGGCTCGTCGAAGTTTTACGGCTAAACCGGTACAGCACCGCGTAACGTAAAAAGTGAATTTTTGAAAAATTTCTTTTTAGCCTTAGATATCTTAATGAAAGTTTTAGTATATGTTAAATCGAGAACGTACATAAAAAAACGTCAAAATCTGACTTCGTATGAGGAAGTTATTATTTTTCTAAGATTTAGCATATGTATGCACAGCCTGGAATTCGATTTTTAGATCGATCGATTTTTATCCGACGTAACCTTAATGAGAATTGAATATCTCATTAATAAGATTTCAACGATAAAAATACAGACGACAGCGAAGTTCGTATATAGAAGTTATGAATTTTACACGGTCGTTTAACACTATAATCTTCTTATATTGTTAAATTTAAAATCGGTTGAGAATTAGCCAATGGAGTCAAAAGGAAAGTTATAGATCTTGTCATTACCTACGCGTGGCCAAAAAGAAAGTGAAAAACGAAGCTCGTTCGCGAAATTTATGAATTTTTAAAGATTGACTGTGTTACCTACGTCCGACGCCACGTGTCAACACCAGGCTTCGCCTTGGTGCCTACGCAAGGCTCACGACGTGAGAGCCATATCTCACGACGTGAGAGGCCCCAGACAGGTAAATAGAGGCGTAGATCACCCCAAAACTCACACCAAAACCATTCTTTCTCTCCCATTACCCTAAAAACCTCTCTTCCCTTTCCTAGCAACTTCTAAGTGCTAGAGGCGAGTCCCAGAGCGCCAAAAGGCTACAAGAAGAAGAGCTTCCAGCTCGAAAGTTCTATCCCCGCAGAGCCCGGTTCCTAACTAAACCCCCTAGTAAGTGAGTTATGGTTACCCTACTTTAAGTATAACTTATGTTTAAGTTCATTATCGTTATTATGAACTTATAAATAATATTTATCAGTGATTCCAAGTCGTTATACTGATTGATCTACTTACGGGGATGCTGTCTAGGCTGTGATTTAGTGAAGTGTTTAAAGTGAGATTTCAAAACAGTATACTTCGTATACCAAACAGACCCTACCTCTGATATGATCCTACCCGGTTGTTCCTCACTTGATAGATCATGAAAGTAGACTTTGAGTTAATGATGAATCTAAACTAATAATTAGTCGCAATAAAGATAGACTAAAACTTAGTGATAATAATGCTAGGTTTCGTTAAAGGAAAATAGAATCGTCAGAAGCGAAGCACTGTTCGAGTTTAGAATCATCACTTTAACAAGTGAGTGCATAGTTACTTTCATCTTACACATAGATATGAAGTATTTTATATATTACGTGCTACGTGTGCATATTATCTGTTTACTTGATATCTATGCTAGATGAACAATCTTATACATGTTTTAAATGATTTAATATGTATATGTATTTTATATCTACAAAATATTTTGGGTAAAACATGGGTAGATGAATGATAAGGGATGAAAGTTGATATAGAGGAACATTGGCAGTTATTGACATAGAGCCTTATAGGTGAACATTGGCAGCAATAGACTTAGTACCCTATAGATGAGCATTGGCAGCTGTGCCACAACCTATAGATGTTTTGATCTACGATGTACTCTAAACATCCTAGCAGTTGCGCTCAAAGGGTAGTATCGTCAGTTGCGCCTAATAGAGAACATCATAACCCTGGCAGCTGTTACCAAAGAACAATATTGGCAGCTGAGCCTAATAGAGAACATCATAACCCTGGCAGTTGCACCCAAAGGACGATATCGGCAACTACGCCTAATAGAGAATGTCATAATTCTGGCAGCTGCGCCTAAACGATAATATTGACAGTCGTGCTTAATAGATAACATTAACAGCTGCATCATTAGGAAAACGATGGACTTCGTGCCTATTCCTTTGGATAATCCATAGGAATGACTGAATGAATGATAGCTGATTCTTAGGGTAGATCCTTAAGAATAAAGAAGATAATGGGGATGGGTAATTGGGTTGATTTTTTGATGATTAAATATAATAATTATATTATTATGGGTTGAAAAATCTATGTACTCACCAGGTATCCCAACCTGACCCACTCAGTTTATTTGTATCACAGGTGTCGATATAAAGCTACACTACACCGACAGATTAAAGAGATGTAGATCACTAGTGTAAATGAATGTAAGTTTTGTTTATGCTTATGTTTCTGTATTGACGATGACATCCCAAAGTTTTAAAATGAATAAAATACATTTCTTCGGAAATGCTTTGATAACATATTTATCATGTTTTTTTTCTGGGAACAAATTCCGCAACATATTTCTTTAAAAGATACTCTGATTTTCAAAATAAAGCATAAACAAATCGATGTTTTCTGGTCGAGAAAATTGGGATGTCACACTAAGTCCTAAAAGTGATGAAGTTCAGCTAGGTCAAGGAGCATCTTAGCCCTTTTGTGCCACACAACAGCTGCCTGGATCAGATGCCCAACGACACCCTCTAATCCAGCGGTGCCTTCCACTCCGGCGACATCTTCAATTCCGACGACATCAAACACGAACCAACTGATATTTCCTTTCGATTCAGACCTAGAAGACTAACGTCAATTTCCTTTCGATTCAGACCTAGAAGACTACCGTCAGACCCCTCCTGCACTTGGACGAAGCTTAACCAAGTCTCCATCACCAAAATTTGATGTCGCCTCCTCTCCATCGACTCCCTCTACTCCAGAGACAGTGGTTTTGTTGTATTACTCTTTCTCTCCATCTAAAGCCTTCCTCGAGAATGACCATTGGAAATGGCTACGAAGCTACATAAGAAAATGAAGGTTCATTGGGATCTAGACCTAATATCACGTCCTCACCTGTGATAAGCCACTCATAAAGAAAACAAGAACCAATACTCCCTCACTCTCGTACTCACCATGCTTCCATGCTCGACAAGTAGCTAAAGAGAGGCTCACAGTTAACCGAATGTCTTCACCATTTCCATCCATCTTTATCGATCTCTCATATTTTTCTAACTTTATGTTTCTAAACTCTTTACGTAGGGTATAGGACTCAAATGGGGTAAATTTAGTGCTTCGGGTCAACAATGGAAGTAATTGGGGTTATGAATCAATTGGCCTTACAAATGTATCAGCTGCAGGTTTTTTTTTTTTTTTTTTTTTTTGAAGAAGAAGACAAGTTGAAATTTTAGTTTGGCAGCTTTAGTCCCTCAGTTCTTGCATGCTAACGAATTACACCATAAGTCCAACTTTACTTACATATTTGATTACCATAAATTACCATTTAAACCCTGGACTTATATAATCCAATTATTATTATTATTATTATTATTATTATTATTATTATTATGTATCTATATATTGCATTTTTATTTAATTAATTCACTTGTCAAACCTACAAAGTTAGTCTTTAATTATATAATTGTTCGATTTATTTATTAACCCTATTTAGAAATCGATAAACGAGAACCAACATTACAGGTACGTCCCTCATCACCATAAAAATCGAAGTTAAAAGGCATTAGCGGCGACACCTTTAGGTGTGACGCGAACTATAGCAACCACACTTAAATCCGTTGACCAAATGTTATTGTAATTAGCTTCGTCGTCGCTAATACGGCTATTCTTGTAGTGACGATATGTTGATTGAAAGTTACTTAAAAATGTTATGTTTAAACAAAAAAATTTGTTTTTTTATTGGAGCAGAGCACAAAAATGTAATTTTGGGGTAAAACTTAAATAACGGTGTATTCATTTGAGAATATCAAAAAGGTTGAGAACGGAGTAAAACTTAAATAACGGTGTATTCATTTATCATTTCTCCACAAATGAATACATAGAGTCACAAATAAATATACTTGTTCTCGTGTTCTCAACCTTTTAGATGTTCTCATTTGATCATTTCCCTATATATATATATATATATATATATATATATATATATATATATATATATGTTCAAATGTTTTTACTATTTATTGTGTGCATGTAGGATTGATTATGGACCAAACATTTTAGTTATTTTAAAAAGTAATTAATGCATATTAAATGCTGAATATTTGATTAATACTCATTATATTTTCAACATGTAATATGAATTAATTACTTTTTTAAAATAACCAAAATGATTGGTCCAGAATCAATCCTACATGCACACAATAGATAATAAAACAAAATAATCTAAGTTTATATATATATATATATATATATATATATATATATATATATATATATTACACATTAAATAACGGAAATATTTATTAATCTTAATCACCATTTTATGATCATAAATATATCATATACAAGTTTTATTTTGAAAGTATTTTACAACACACAAAAGTTATTGTTCATTTTGATTTTTTTATTTCCAAACAAAAAATTGTTAAAACTAAAATATATTACAATTTTCTCAATATATAATACAAGATTCAAAATAAATTTCCCTTCGAAAATAATGGTTTTGCTTCTAATCATAGGAGATTTTCATACTACATCTTTCCTTAGAAAATTTGATCTAACAATTTTCATCTATCATAACTTTAAAACTCAGTTATTGGTATTTTATAAGTTATGATTTTAGTTTCTTACTGCATTTTAAATATATGTTTTTGGTCATTTACTTAATTTTTTTTATAGTTCTTGTTTTTACTAATTTCTTTATTTAAAGGTATGAATTTATGTGGTGTTGCACCTAACAATATACACTTTTAATCTTATTTTCTTCCGTCTCTTGCATACATAATGGTTTTCAAAGAAACTTTATTTTGATACTGTTGTGGACCATATAAATGTCTTAGCTATATGTGAACTATTAATATTTGTAAATTACATTCTAAACACGAATTGCAAAAAAGTTACCTTCTGTTTTTATTGATTACAAGCGAGTTCTTTTGTTTTTATTAGTTACAAACGAGTTATCTGCCGTAATACAAATGATAACTTAAATACTAGTTAACTATTTTACACATTAATCTAAAATCAAATAACCTAATACGGATAAGATAATACAAGAGGTGGGATGCTTTGTTCATGACCAAAGAAATTGGTTGGATCAACTTCACCTTTTACAATTGCCAACCTCCTGAAATTTCCCATAAAATACTTGCTTCCCCATTCTAATGCATGCTCGTAACTTGAACCACATCCACCCTTACCATTTGTACCTAGATCCAAATCCCTAATGTTCACGTAAGCCTCCCTTGGATTATTGGACACAAATGGTGTCATCTTCTCATGTATTTCTCTTATCAAGTCAACATGCTTTTTAGATGCCTTGAAATCATCATCGGTCCATCGCATGAAATACTGTATGATGTACAAATTTCCTTCCCGGTGTGCGTACGGGGTCTCAGTCGCATCTATCTCGCTCATCCTTCCGCCATGTGGCTCTATCACCAGTAGTAGATTTTCTTGCAAACACCATTTCCAGATGTCTTCAAATGCTTCTTCCGGGATTGGTTTCTTGACATAGTCTGATTTACCTACGGAATAACTTTTAGGCCACGGTCTCCGGTCTCTTAGAGCATCAATGCCTTCTCCACTTAAATAACCGGAAAAGTAAACTACTGATTCTATCCAACTCATCTCAATGCAATCCGTTTTCTGTAATCCCAGTTCTGGAAATCTGTCCTCGGCTATTTCTATAAGCTTATCAGCTGTACCCAAGAACAGTGCGTTGATTGTTAGTTGCAATGTTCTGTTTTCTTCTTGCTTAGACACCGGAGCAAGATTTATTACAAGGTGAATGAACAAATCTTTAGTGAGATTGTGCGCAACATACTGCCACTTGTTAAAAATCTGAGTACCACCTTCGTCTAGCTTTTTAGAAAGACTGAAAACTGTAACTACCGGTGGAACATAAACAAGGCTGATCTTCCAAGATAGTATAACACCAAAACTACCTCCTCCACCACCTCTAATCGCCCAAAATAGATCTTCACCCATTGAGTTTCTATCCAAGATCCGCCCATTAACATCAACAATATATGCATCTATTACATTATCAGCAGATAATCCATATTTCCTTGCCATCGTACCGAATCCTCCTCCACTAAGGTGCCCTCCCACCGCTACAGACGGGCACTCTCCAGCTGGGAATCCTAGAAGATTACTCTTCTGAGACACCCAATAATATAATTCGCCAATAGTTGCACCGGATTCGACCCATGCTGTGTTATCATCTAAATCCACAGTGACTGACCGGAGTTTGTTCATGTCAAGAAGGATGAAAGGGGTGTGATCATGCGAGGTGTAGGAAAGGCCTTCATCGTCATGACCTCCACTTCTGATTCGAATTTGAAGTCCAGATGCCTTGCTGCAGATGATTGTGGATTGGACATGGTAATATGAAAAGGGTGTGATTATTGCTAATGGTTTTGGGGTTTTGTCGGTGGAATATCTAAGGTTTTGGATGGTGGATTGAAGGATAGTGGAGTACGAAGTGTCATCTGGGGTGATGACAATGTCTGTTGATGTGAAGTTTGAAGAAAGTTTACTAGAGATGCAATCAAAAAACTCAGCAGAGTTTATTGATGGGAAAAAACCAAGGGAAAGACATAGGAGAAATGATAAAAGTTTACATGAAAAGAACTTCAACTCCATTTTTTGCTTGTGGTTTTCTTTTAATTGGAACATCCGTCATCCTTTATATAAAACACTTGTCCCATTTATAAACTGCCTTTCAAAAATAATAGTGAACAGATTTTACGTTATGCAAACGAGCTATTCTAAATTTGAGACGTTCACTTATTTATATGTCCGTTTGAGTAAATTTTAATATATAAAACGTCAAAATAGTTTATTCAAATAAATTTAGATCAAAAGGAAATTGTAGGAAACATACTAGGAGCAACTTTTTAGTGTTAATTTCGTGGGTAATCCGTTGGAACCCAGCTCACACTACGAGAGAGAAAAAATAGAGCTTCAAATTTACAAAAATGGAGCTTGAAATTAATTTTTTGATGACAATAATGGAAATCAAGGCTGAAGCTAACTGATCATAAAACGACAAAAATGAAAATTTTGATGGCACACCAATTAAGAATATCTGCATCACAATCTATACTTATATAAATTAATAAGAATTATCAAATTTTCTAATAATCAAAACTTGCTCTATCTTTTAATTCAATTATATTTAATTCTTGGGTCCTTTTGTTTTATGTATATATATTTTTGGTTCGCCATAGACATCTTTATTGCAGAATGAACACATGTAAATATTTACTTTTCTAAACACAAATTCTCAACTTACTTTCGTATGTACTTTATAAACTGCATTCCATAAAAACTGATTTGTAATGGTATCCAAAATATAAAAATAAAAGAACATCTAGGAGGGTATGGAAGTTAAAAAAATTAAATAAATAAATAAATAAATAACACTACAAATAATATGACTTTGGTCTACTTGAAGCCAGATTGCTTTTTCTTTTCTCTATATTAAAGCCAAATTGATGAACAATGATATTATAGTGCATCAAATCAGCAGAAAAGATCCATGAAAGCTAAGTTTTCTTTGGCGTTCTTTGATTAACAGTGTCTGCTAAGATTTTCAGCCACAAATGCCCTTGTTTAATAATACCAAAGGCCATCCTCAATGATAACCCCCCAATTGCATTTTCTATTATCAATCATTGAAATAAGCTGTTGATCTAATTAGGACAAAAGTTGTTTTCTTTTAAAACTTCATTTTTTACAGGTCAGCTAGGACCAGCAAACACCATTATCCAAAAAGAAAAAATCACTACAAATAAAATGACCGTGGCATAAAAAAAAGTGTCACTAAAAACCAAAAGGTAATAGGGGGCGTTGAGGGGGGGCAAAGTGGGCAGCCATACAGGACCCAATTTTTTTATTATTATATATTTTTATTTAAAAATAAAAACTTATAATAAAGATAAGGGCCCATTGTTCTGGCTCGTCCAGGGCCTTTGATGATATTTCATTCATGAGGACCGGACCTGAAAAAGTGCCACTAAAGACCCTCTCAAAAATCAACAGCACAAAAAAAAGTGTCACTAAAAGCGATGCCACTAAAGGCCTTTAGTTGCACTTTTAGGTTGTGTCGTTGCAGCACTTTTGGGTTTTAGTGACATTTTTTTATGCCACTATAGCACTGTCATCTTTTGTGACACTATTTTTATGACACTATATATTTGTTTAAATAAAAACAATTTTATGTTTTTAGTGGCATCTTTTTTACCATAAAACATTTATATCTAAAAATAGGCCCAATTTATATTTTTTATAAATTAAATGGAATAAATATTAAAAAGCAATTAAGATAACAAATGCAAAACAAAAAAAAAACATAAATAGATTAATACTTAACTTGTCTTACAACAATATTATTAAAATTTAAAACAAAATATCTCAAAAGGCTTAAGAAGTCTAAATATTATGCTATTAATTATTCAAAATATTAAACTATCAAACTAGATACTAGTTCGGGAAGAAACACAAAAGTTGACACAGAGATGAACTTTGCATACTTGTTGTCTTGCTCCACTTGTTTATCCAACTTACGAAAAATTTCCTATAATACAACAATAAGAAATCACATAAAGATACGTAAGAATATCATTAATAATCACAACATAAAAAGAATTATGGATCACTTGGTTATCTTAGTTGAACATACTTACCGTTGCCATGATGACTTTTAGATGAGGATCTTTGAATTCCTAGAGGAGAGTTATTATGAACCATAGAAAAGCTACAAGGAACCAGAAACAAATGTAGAATAAAATTGTTAGTAATACATTAGGTAATATTAGACAAATAATTAATTTATATATAATTACTTGTCAAAGTGACAATTTCTATAACAGATTCTTAAAAGGACCATTTTCGTCATGTTTTTCCTGCAACATGAACCATTTTTGTAATAGTTGCCTGCCACAAGGATCATTTCTATAATATATTCCTGCCATAGGTACAATTTATGTAACAAATCTTTAAAGGACCATTTTTGTCATGTTATTCCAACTACATGAACCATTTTTGTAATAGTTACCTGCAACATGGACCATTTTTGAAAGCATAAAAACTTATAAAGGAGGCATTTTCTTAAACAAGTAAACTATAAACAATAACAATCAAAACTAAACACCTTTTATTTCCTGATTTGATCGAAACATAGATAATGTTGATTCAAATAAGTATACCATTTATTGAAAACGATACTTTGAAGTGTATTGAAAAAAGACCATAAAACGATATAATTGAATCAAAAGTATATGAATGAAAATACATTGTTTTTGAAGTGGATCTAAAGTATATGATTGAAAAAAGACCATAATGTTTACAGCTTCTTTGGAGGAAGCTCCAAATTTGCTTTGAACCTGAAAAAAATCAAGAGGGACAGATTAGTAAATTTGAATATTATGAGTTTTTAAGTTGACAAGATCACCTTAAGTGAAAAATCATTGACATCTAGAAGCAACATGGCATCAAAATAATTAGTCAAAGCCTTGACAAACATTTGATAAAGTTCAATAAACCTACATTCAGAGGTGAATCAAGAAGCTATTTTGGTTGGTGAATCAAGAAGCTATTTTGGTTGGGGCATGCTATTGATCTGGTATTGTAAAAATAACCAACCCGAGTCAGAATGATATTTTCTTTTAAAAATATTTCTACATTCCTGCCAAATTCACAGTTTTAATGAAGTCACAAAAACTAGTCATTTTAAACTTTAGAACTCAAATAGTTGACAAAATCATGAACTTAACAAAACCAACTAAACAAACAAGAACAACAAAGTCCATCCTAAACAATGAAATCCAAAGACAAAGAAAAAAAATTCAAATACAAATAAATCATCATATCCCTAGCTATTGAAATCGGAAGAGAATTTAAAGTTAAAGCATGTGGCTACTTAAACAATTGACTTAATAAAGAAATATAGCATTCAAGATGCCCAAATGAAAAACCATAAAACAATACGAAACTTAATTGAATATCAAAATTGGAACACCTAATACAATGACATAACTATAACTTCAACCCCTTTTATCATCACAAATATAAACATAATGCATCACAAAGGATATGTCTAATTATTTTAAAATTAGAATAAAAAATTAGGTTAAACATACTTGATACTTAAGATGAGCAGAGGATGCAAGTGAAAAAAGGTAGAGAGAGTTCAAAACTAACACATGGAGGTTTAAGGCTGAGAGTGGAGGCAAGTAGTTGGCCGGTTGCTTTCTCCTTTGTCAATTTCAAGGGGAGACCCCACCCTAAAGCATTGGATCCACCTATGCCTACAATATTAAGACAAAATTTAGTCAATACAATTAAAGATATAGTATATTGTCACTTGTGCTTAACAGAGCAACTGTGCTTAAAACATTTTACAAACATTCAAGCCTGATAACAATGTTCAACTTGTTGGAGAAAGTTTTCTTATGTGCTTGAAAAAATAAAAAAGGACAGTCGATAATATATGCACCATCTGAAACTGATTGTTCAACGTTCATATGGCATCACTACAACTAGGGTACTAGCCGCTTGCTCCTCTAAACGAGATGATCAAAGGTATTACTGGACAATAAGAAAGAGATAATGTTGTTGTATTGCTACAAAACTTTTAATTTCGAAAAGGGAATGAATTAATTAATGAAAAGAAAGAGAATACCTTTCTATGATTCATTTTTCCCAAGTGATATATGGAATTTGTAAATTCACAATTGTCGTGAATTGTATACAGGTATGATGTAGGGTTGCGTCGACGTCGTCGGGAAGACTGTGTCAGTTCCAGTTCCATAATGAAGTTACGTCACGGTCAGGAAGCATGTGCCGATTCAATTTGGGATTGCATCTTCATTCTTCAATGGTGGTCAAACGTCCGATGGTGACCATTGCCGATTAGGGGCTGTGTCGACTGATTTGGGCCACGAGTTTCTAAGGAGGGGGAAAGGGCTAAAGTTAGAGAAAATGTATCTAGTTATGTGAAAGGTTAAAGTGTAATGACTTTAATTTTAAGTGGAATTATTAGGGGGAACTAGAGGCGCCAAAACAAAATCTAAAAATGTAGTGGCACATAAAATTATGTGCCAATAAAACCATAATCTAGTTGCACAAACAAAAATGTGCCACTAAAAGTAAATTTTCTTGTAAACGATAAGTATAACTTCAATAAACACAACAAGAAAACATGCCATTAGCAACGACTTGTTCTTTAGCGACGACATTAGACGAGATACGCATGGGTCGGTGCTAAAAGTATGTGTCATCGCTGAAAGGGTCATCGGTAATGGATTCCACCGGTGATGATCCAACCCAAGCAACTTTAAATCTTGGCCCTACGTTTGTACCATGATCCAACGAATAGGTTTTAGTGACAACAACAATTGCGAAAACTACATCGCCACTATTGATCACAACCTATGGGACTCGCGTAATAAGCAATCTTCGCCCTAGGTGTTTTACCTGATCCAACAGCTAATACTTACAAGAAAAGGCACGTCCATTTTCCTCCAATTTATCGCCGCTAATACTCCGGTGATGCCACTAAAAGGCGTTGCCGCGAAAGGCATACCCCATTTTATTCAACTTCATCTTAGAACTGCTAGTCCCCTACCTTGCTTTTCTGTTTCGATTTCTCCAACGAGTATACGATATCACCGAAGAAGGATGACTTTTTTTCACCCACATCTTCGACCTATGCCACTATCCTCCCACCCCTGCTCGTCAGACTGTTTCCACCCCAGCTCACGACCTCGACGTCCCTCATTTGTCTTTCTCTTTCTCTCCCGACCTTAATTTCTACTTTAATTTGTTGAATTTTGTGGTTTCAAGGCACCAAAAAATCCAGCACCGCCACATCAAGGTTGTTCTTCGGCGAACTCCACCACCACAACACCATACCGATGATGATTACTCAGCATCTCCGACGAAGGTGCATTCTCTCTTCCTTATTTTCTCTTTCTCTTTCTCTTTTGACCAACATTTCTATTCTAATTTCATGATTTTGGTGGTTTTAAGACACCACCGCCACTGCCATGCTATTCGTCGGCAATTACAACCACCACCACAACACCGTACCTGTCATTTTGCCGCTAATTTTCGCGACTACAAGTTCATTTTAATAATAATTTGTGTATGTGTATGTATTAATTTGGTATTTGTACGTGTGTGTACGTGGTATAATCAAGAAAATATGTATCGTTGTATGTGTATTTGGTATAAGCAAAAGTATTCGTGTGTATAATGTATATGTATATATCTATCATTGTTTGTGTATTTGTATGTAATCAATAATATATGTGTGTATAATGTATGTATATGTGTGTTAAATGTATTTGAGAAAACGATAGTCTTAGAGATTTGTTAATTAGGCAAGTCCTCAAAACTAGTGTGTATAATATGTGTGTGTGTACATATATATATATATATATATATATAATATATATATATATATATATATATCCCTATTCTAATAAAAAAACATGTTTATTCTCATTTTTCCATGTGTCACCCTATTAGGCCACCTAACTAATGTTATGCTACCTGTCAACCTATTGATTCTCCATTTCAAATTTTATATTTTAAAATTTTCCACTCTAATTACATTAAATTAATAACATTATAATAAGTGTTAGGTCTGGTGTTGCGTCTGTGGGCTCGGCTATAGGTCCATTTAGTTAACCCGGTTTGGGTCTGTCCAACCGTGGGTAAACATTAGGGTTAGAATATAAATGTTGCATGCATGTATAGCTTTGGTATTTGATCGTTCTCATAAATTACTTGCATTGTAACCCTAGCACACCTCTACAGTCGAAGTTCTTCATCGAGCTCTTCTGAGGTGTGAGTTATTAATCATTCGACACCATTGATCCATTCGTGTGTTCTTTACTTGATTAAATATTGTTTTTCTGTTTGGAATCTATCGATCTACAACTCTAATATTCCAACAATTGGTATCAGAGCAGGAGACTGTGTAATACATACGCATCTCTTCTATTTGAAGAATCCTGTAGGGTTTCCGCTTTTATCAATATAAAGACGTTGTCTTCTTCCTGTCGACGCTATCTCTAGTGTTTGATAAAACCCTAAGTTCAACGTTACAAGTCTGATTCTAACAGAATACGTTCATCATGTCTCACGATGACTCTCAAAGCAATCCAATCAACATCTCCAACAGCATAGGATCAACTACAAGGATTCCCATACTCTACACTCAAGATTATGAAGTGTGGGCGCATCACTTCGAAGATTATGTAGTTGGATCTGAAGACAATGGCTACTTGATCTGGGAAGCAATAACATTGGGTCCGTTTGTTCACTCTGGAACAAATTGAACAGTCAAGACTCAAAAAGAGTATAACCAACTCCTGGCGGACCAAGATAAGATGCCTCAAGACGAAAAAGACAAGGTGTTATGTAACGTCAAAGCTATGAGGATGATCTGGTTCGCATTACAGTCTGATACCTTTCGTCTGGTGAGTTCATGCACAACAGCTAAAGAAATATGGGATAGGTTGAAAGAATTGTACTCAACAGATGAAGATCTAGAGCACTTGATCCAAACCCTTTTGCTCTCTGAGTTTGGTGATTTCGAACAGAAACCTGAAGAGAAGCTTGTTCAGACATTTGAGCGATTCAATCATCTGCTCAGCAAGATGATGAAGCATGGCATTGAAAGGAAGGTGATTGAACAAAAGGTTACCTTCATGAATGGATTAAGGCCCGAATGGATGGCGGTAGTTTCGACTGTGAAGGCTCATGAGCAATTTAAATCATATTCATTGGCGAAACTAATGGGTATTCTAAAATCTCAGGAAAGCGTGGTAACGAAGGAAGCAAAAGTAGTTTCAGGTGTGGGTTCACTGGCCCTCGTTTCTAAAAGCAAGAATGTAGCAAACGAGGAGGAAGAATCTGATTTGTCTGAGTGTGATCTATCCAACGAAGAATATGCAATGATGGTCACAAACCCAAAGAAGTTTGCTCGCAGAAAATTCCCAGTCAATAAGAACCGAAACTGGCAGGGAAGCTATAGTTCTAAAAAGGTGAAGGAAGAACCGAAGAATAACACCCAGAAGGACGATGAGAAGAAGGAGAGTAAACTTGTGGGAGACTCTGGCTACGATTGCAACTACTGTCATGGCAAGAACCACTTTGCCAAGGATTGTATGCTGAGAAAGATGGCTGAGAAAAAGGAGGGTGAAGATGACGAGACTTACTACATGAGAAAGCTGGAGGAGATAAAGAAGAAGAAAACTGCTAACGTTTCCATGAATGCTTTGATTGTGCAGGAAAACGTTGTTGAAGATGAGTTTGGTGGAGTGGAAGTTTGGTCTACATATTCTGAGGATGAAGAGGTACGCAGACCCTCACATGGAAGAGCATATGTAGCGAGAGAAGGAGTTGCTAAGTCGGCTGGGAGATGCTTAATGGTTACAACCGAAAGTAAGCATTAGGAAGCGAAGGTCATGGAAGATAGATGTTTCGCAGCCAAGCCCATGAGTGAAAAGATCAGTGACTGCGATCAGTTGATCAAGAAGGTACACACTATTCTAGAATCTCATAAAGTACCAATAATAAACTATGAAAAATACTTAAATGATTTAAAATACAAGTTTTCCAATTTAAGTGGTAGTCTTATGCAAACACGCTTAGCCAATTCTAACCTAACTGACCAACTCAGCAGGAAGTCTTCCAAGAGTGAGGAGAGAAGAATATGGATTCAGCAGAAGGAGTTAGAGTTGATTAGGGCTAGGGATGAACTTATTTATTTGCAAAGAGACAATTTGAAATTTTTGAAACAATGAAATGTTTTCTGTTTGATTGCTAAACGTCTATATACTAATATCACTCAGTTACATTTAGATTGTGAGATAGGAAAACAGATTCATAAAATGATTTTGCCCTTCCTTGAATTTAAGGAGGACGAAATCATTGCTGAATGTGAATCTATAATGTCCTCGGATGAAATCTCTGTCACTTAAAAATATGGACCGGACAAAATTGAATATTTCATAGAGTCTAAAGAGCATAAGTGCATGCTTAAGAATTTGCTGGACGAAAATGATAAATTGAAAATAAAGACCGAGACTATACAGAAATTTGACTCATCCAACGCCAAATTGAGTTCAGAAAATAAAATCAATTTAGAAACCACTTCTGAATTTGATGAGGAAAGTGAGATGAGTGAAATCTCTGTAGAAGACGTTGTCGATTGTTCATAATTCATTAAAAGCGGAACCGAACCAACAAAACCCCTCATATCTGAAAATTCGGTTGAATACGCTCGGGTGTCAAAGGACAAATTAAAGAAGCTCAAAGAAAAGGCTGTCGTCTATCAGAAGGTTCAAACAACTCCAAACCAAGTGTATGCTGTGGCTGGCGTAACTAAGAAGCAAACAGCAGAGCTAAAATCAATGGTTGACAAAGATAACGCTGAAAGGTGTGATAACTTCTTATGGTCAGCTCCCATCGATAATGCAAACGAAACAGTCGGTCTGTCAGAGCAAACCTC